ATTATTTTTTTTTTCGTATTTACACTAAAAAAAAAGCCTTAAAATTAAATAGCGCCTCCTAATTTTGAACCTCCGAGTGGTAGTTATTTAATTAGTGAGAAATAAAATGTGTGATTTGAAATATGACTATTTTTTTAGATAAGTAATGATTTAAAATATGACTATTTAATTAATTTTGTCCCATTTTGATATGTGGACAAAAAATGTGATTTTAAGCCACTGAGTGTACAATGATATTAATGTCATTTTTTTAATCATTAAATACAAGTCATTAGATGCAAAAGCACTTGCATTCTTTGCAATTGTTACCGCATTTTTTATTTAAGTCTGGTTAATATGCATCTTTAAAATATATATTAAGAAAGTTTGAAAGGTATTGGACATTTTTAATACACTCACTTCATGGTGATGTACAATATTTTCAAGTATTTTAGCAAATATTCTAACAACGCACATTAACAAAATTTTATTATCAAATATAATAATAAAAATAAAAATAAATGATATATAGTAGTATTATATTGATTTTTATCATTATAACTCATTAAATGAGAAACGGCCTACATTTATTGCAATAATTAATGCACAGATTATGTGCACAAAATGTATAAATTTTCTTATTAAATAGTGGAACCCACGCAATAATATCAACCTTGGCTTGTTTTGCCAATTCGGCTAAAAGTTATTTTTTTAAATTTTTTTTTTTTTGGATTACATTATTTTTTAATTTTTTTACATAATTTTTAAAAAAAATTAAAAAATCTACTTTTCAAAACAAGCTGCTGTATCCATTATCTTTGAGAAATTTTTTGTACATAATTTTTAGGAGAAAATACTAATAAGTGGTATTGTTAAAAGTTATTGCAGATTAATAAAAAAAATTATAGTTTTAATTATTAATTCTTATATAACAACCATTTATTTGTAATTTTTTTTGAAAACTTACACTGCATTGAGATTTTTTTTTTTCTTTCTAATTTCTATTCACATAATCACATGAACTCAAGTGGAACTCACTCTTTCTTGAGAAATTCACACATAATTTCTGTGCACATAATGTGCTACTGAAATGTACAAAATTTTTCACAAAATGGTGACGTTTACACAATATGAGGCTCATATGGGTTCACTGTGAGAAATTATGTACACTTACATAATGTGTTCCTATAAAATATACATATCCTCATTTGAAATCATGTGAAATATATAATTAAAATAACTACCTTAAATTTTATTACGAGCATGAATCACAAAATAAGACCAAAAAAAAAAAAAAAAGAAGAATGGATAATAGAATTTGCTATATAGGCCCTGTTTGGTAGAGCTGTGGGAAAGTGCTTATAGCTTATGCCTAAATAGCTTATAGTTTATAACTATGAACATAAGCTGATTTCTGACTTATAAATTAAGCATTTTCTGCCCCACTCAAAGAATAAGCTGATTTCTGACTTTCAAAAAGTTATAAGCTATAAGGTATAAGCTAAACCAAACACATCAAAATAGCTTAAATTAAGCTGAAAGCTGAAATAAGCTGCTTTTAAGTTTTGTCAAACAGACACATAGTCTACTTTAAAAAAATTCTTATTTGTCTATATCTATATTAACAAACTAATGCTATTTTCGACACTCAAAAAATATTCCTTATATTAAAACTAAAAAAAAATGTTTTTGTATTAAATGTTATTCATTTTATTTTGAAAAATTAATTCATTAATTACAATATAATTAATTTTAAAGTGTATTAAAACTAAATATATGACATTAATTACTTTTTAACTAGTATTCCGGGTAACTGTTGGCAAGAGGCTAAAAGTTTTTTAGTTAGATAAGTTTTTTTTCACCAAATTTTTATATGTTTTTATATTTTAATAGACATTTTAAAATTAAAATTCATTTAGACTTTGTGAGCTTTTGACCTTAAATCTTAAATTTTATATGAAAGTTAATAAAATGTGCTACTAGCCCCCGAAGCTACATTAAGGAAAGATTTAAAAAATAAAAAATAAAAAATATTATAAAAAAAACCCTAAAATCTCTCTTTGTTTCTTTGAGAATAGAATCATTAATTTGACCGACGGACTCTGTAGAAAATACAAGATTTAAGCTAGCTGTTATATGTTCTTTCTTTACCCTTATAGAATAAAAGAATTACTTACCTTATAATAAACAAATTAATAAAAAATTTGATCCAAACAAGCTCAAATTGAAAATGAATCCTCACATTTTTTGACTAAATAAAAAATTAAATAAACTACAAGAAAACAGTACAAAGTTAATTATCTACATTTCAAGGCAAGCAAATATTATTATTTTTATTTTTTTTATTTTTATTTATTTATTTTTTTTTACAGGAAAATCTTTCCTACCCTCCCGCAGGTCCAAGGCTACGCCCCTTGCGTAGATCATCAGGGTGTCCTGTTAGCCATTCCGACGTTCCAAGCAAGGAGACTATAACCTGAGAACTTGCCCCGACCTCTCAAGACAAGATTCACTTAAGTCAGGACTCGCACAATAGGGGAGCATTGAACTCACATCAAGTGCTGATTAGACAACTTGAGGTTCAACCTCCTAACCAATTGTGCTTCTCCCAGGAGATTGGTCCAAGGGAAAATGAATTGAACTCATGACCTTGAGGCTTAAACCTCAAGCTTTAACCACAATGCCAACCACCCTTGAGTTCAAGCAAATAATTTCAAGATATATTATGGAGAAAAAAAAAAGACAAATAAATGATTGAAAAAAAGATGGTCTACACTTCCATCTCTAAATTTTAAGGTCCCTTACCAGAATAATATAAAATAATAAATAAATAAATAAACAATACTAGTACGAAATGTAGATAATTAAGTTTTTGGGTTTGAATTTTTTAGGTTAAATTTTTTTATTTTTTGTATTTTTTATTTTTAGTGAATATTTTTAAAATTTAAGTTTTTTTTTTTTTTACTTTTTTTAGATACACCGAGCATCTCCAAGATGATAGTTAAACAAGGTTTATTAGACATTTTAGCCAATGTAAATCTAATTTTGTAAATTTATATTAGTAAAATATTAACAATTAGTATTTTTTTATTTTAAAAATTAATTAAGTTAGTTTAAATGATTAGCTAAAATAAAGAGCGTGGTTGGAGAACACAAGAACTAAAGTAATTAGGTAAAATAAAGAGTGCAGTTTTTTTATACTTTACCTAGTGAAAAGTAGAGAGTGTTGTTAGAGTTGCTCTTATATGCATCTAAAAAATAAAAAAATTGTGAAAAAATATTTTAAAAAATTAATAAATACATAAAAATACAAAAAAATATATTGAATTCTCATGTTTTTTATATTTTTGATATTTAGTGAATTTTTAAAAGATTTTTTTCACAAAAATTATATTTTTTATATATATTTATGTTAAATGTGTCTAAAAATTTAAAAAATATTTTTGAAAAATAAAAAACAAAGTGAATATACTACTACTAATAAAAGTAATGATATAAATAAAGTATGCATAAAGATTATATCTAAAATTATATATCTTATTTCTATTTAGAAGTTTAAAAGTTATTATTATAATTTATAATTATAAAAATATCGTTATCACATCATTTTATATGAAATTTTTATTACAAAAATTGGACTGAGCTGGTCTCTAATGAACTAGAGGTGTTGTTCTGGCCTGTAGGGCCAACCATGATCTTGTTCAAGGAAAAATTATAATTTAGTTCATAAAAAAACTTATGTATTTAATTATTAAAATTAATAAAATTTACCATTAATTTGTACTTATTTTTTTACAGTTACCTTAATCGGTAATATCCCTTTGTGTCAATGACATAGACCATTTATTTTGAAAACTTTGCATGTATGGCATTTATGAAAAAAAAATTAAATAGATTTGATAACCATAACCTCATCATTTTATCACATTTTTCTTTAAAAAAGTGAATGATTTATTTAAAAAAAAACACACACGTATCATTCATTTTTTTTTAGATAATCTAACTTATTTCATAAATGATTCAAAGGAATAATCAAAATGAGTGATTCCACGAACAAATCTAATTCATAAAAATTAAATATATATATATATTTTTTATTAAGGGATTATTTGAGATGATTTAAATAAGTGCATTTTTTGATTTTTTATAAAAAAATATGAAATATGAGTTGGATTTGAAGTGATGTAGTAAAAAAATAATATGATTTAAATAAGATGATATGACTTAAATATCATAGTAACTTTTTGATTTTTTTAAATTATGTCAAACTAGGCCTAATAATTGTTCATGTGTAATCGTTGATCTTGCTAAGTGAAATATGAATAAAATATATCTATATTTTACATAGTTTTACGTACTTTTTTTATTTTTTTTTTTAAATCTCTTTCCAAATCTCCTAATTAAACACGTCGTCTTATATCCAATAAAATGTAAGAATAAATAATAATGTAAATATTTTAACATTTACTCCCTACTAATAATCGTTAAAGCACTAGTCAAAGCCTCCATATATAGAAAATATTTAAAATATATTAAATATTAAATTTTACAACAATGATTCATCCTCCTTTTTCCCTCCACCCCCTTTACCCCTCTCTCTCATTGGTTACATTTTTTTTTTTTCTTTTTTTTTCTACTCCTCCAATCACCACACGTCACGTGACAAAGGAGAGTGAGGGGGTGACCTCAAAAGGGGTCCCAAGTATTATTGTAAATTTTAACGTTTATTCCCTACTAATAATCGTTAAAGCAATAGTCAATAGCTCCATATATAGAAAATAGTTAAAATATATTAAATATTAAATATTTTAACAATTCTTTTTTAATAATGATGACAGCTTAGCGTAAAAAAAAAAAAAAAAAAAAAAAAAAAAAAAAAAAAAAAATCAATACAACAATCAATAATACAATTCTCTATTTCTTTTTATACATTGAATTCTAACATGGTATCAGAGCAAGGTTAACAACTTAGTAATTCCGCTTCACCGGCGGACGGCAACCTCGCCTTGGCCGTCCGCCGGACAAACCCAAATTTCCTTAATCTCTCTCTCTCTATCTATCTAAGCCATGGCTCTGCAACTCTGGGAGACCCTTGAAGATGCGATCACCGTCTACACGGGTCTCACTCCAGCAACTTTCTTCACAGGTCTCGCTTTGGGTCTCGCTATCTACTATGTTCTCTCCAGTCTGTTTGGTTCCTCTGGTAATAATCAACGTAAGAGTTCTAGGGATTTGCAGGAGGAGATGCAGCCTCTTCCCCCTCCTGTTCAGCTTGGTGAGGTCACTGAAGAGGAATTGAAGGTCTACGATGGTTCTGATCCTAAAAGGCCTCTTCTCATGGCGATCAAGGGTCAGATCTATGATGTCACGCAGAGCAGGTATATCAATCGACCTTTTTTTGAATGTTTTAGCATCTGGGTTTTTGGTTTTTGTTGTTTTGTTTTGTTTTGTTTTTTTTTTTTTTGGTGGGTATTTTAGCTTCGTGCAAGAATTTCAAGGGTTTGATCGTGAAGTTCTGGAATTAATTAGGTTATACTTGTGATTAATTTGTTAAGGTTGTGTGTGTGAAATTTGGGCGTTTCTTGGTGTGTTGTGCGTGCGTGTGTTGTGAAGGGAAGTTGTTGTGGGGTTCAATATATAGTTGTAAAATTCACTTTAGGGTTTAGGGTTTTCTTTTGGATGTTGATTCTCTCTGTCTTTATTCCCTGCTGAATTTCTTCTTGTTGATGCGTCTCCTCGTGCTCCTTGTTTCTAAAAAAGCACATACTTTTCTGGGATTCTGTGGAAACTATGTCGAAAATTGTCCGAACATCAATTGTACGGAATAGATTTAAAGTTCTTGAGATGTGGGCCGCAACAAGAATGATTGTGCCCTATAGATGTATTTTTCGAGTAGTTTTTCCTGAGTATTGAGTATGTAATATTGATGTTTGATTCCGTTAATAGGATATCATGGGCTTTTTGGTTGGATTTAACAGATTGGTAGATTGGTTATCATGGTGAAAATCTAAATGTCTTTTCTTTTTTAACATCAATTGTACGGAATAGATTTAAAGTTCTTGAGATGTGGGCCGCAACAAGAATGATTGTGCCCTATAGATGTATTTTTCGAGTAGTTTTTCCTGAGTATTGAGTATGTAATATTGATGTTTGATTCCGTTAATAGGATATCATGGGCTTCTTGGTTGGATTTAACAGATTGGTAGATTGGTTATCATGGTGAAAATCTAAATGTCTTTTCTTGTTCTTTGTTTGCTAGAGCGCCTCCAATACAGGCCTGTTTTGCCTTTTTTTTTGGAAATGTTGCTCCAGTGGTGCCTAAGCAAATTTTTATACAATTACCATTTTTGCTTTTCAACTGTTAAATCATCTCACTCTAATCACAATCATTGATCACCGTAATAAATTGACGTGACAGATTTGGTTATTAATTTGGCAAACCATTGGAGCTTATTTGCGAAATCTTGTGCCAAAAGATATCTTTGGCAAGGGATTTGGCCAACCGTTGGAGATGATCTAGTATTAATAATCTACCCTGTCGATAAACCTTTGAAGGCTTACAGTTGCCATTTATAGTCTGTTAATAACATCATTAATTGCCTGTTAGGATTTGAGATCATGTTCTATTGTCCTTAGCTGTCGTTTTACTGTCTATAGCTTTCTCCATAGTTATACGTTACACAGAGCTGCTTGGATTGTCACTTTTTTAGTAGTTATAATTTATACATAACCGCTTCAATTGCTGCTTTTCCGACATTTAGAATTTATGTAGAACCGTTTGGAGTTGTCGGTATTGCTGCTTTTTTATTGTAGAATTTATATAGAATCATTTGGAATTGTCGGTATTCAGTTATTATTCTGTTGACCCTTCTTTTTTTTTTCTTTTTTTTTTTGTTGTCATTACGTGTGTCATGGGGATATGTTTGTTTTCGATTGGGCTAATGCATGATTGGGTAAGTTATCCATACTTGTATCACATAATGAATATACCATATAAGATACAGTGCATGAGTATGATACAGTGTTTAGGATATCCATTTGTAATGTTTGTCGCAAGATTCCAAACTTCTAAGTTCAATTTTTTCCCTTTTTTACTTGAGGTGGTAGTGTAAAATGCTGTGGGGGCTCAACCCCCATGAATGTGTTAGGTTTATTTTTCTTTGATAGATCATTTTGCCACTTGGCCCTAATCCCCCTAAAACCCAAATACCATTTACAGTATATGTCATATATATAAATGTTTATTTCAAAAATAATAATTTTTAAAGTTTAAAGAAACAGAATTAAGTATAAATTTATGTTTTTTTTTTCTTTTTTCTTCATTGTAGTCTAACTTATTTTATTCAAACTTTACCGTGTTTTTTATGTGTTTAAATGATATACATGTGTTCCTCAAATGTCCGAAGCGTGTCTGAGTTTAGAATTTTTTTCAAGATATAGAACATGTTTGGTGTTGGGAAGTGTCTGACAAGGGTCATGTTGTGTTGTTATGGACACATTGTCGGACATGACACACCATCTTCTTTTGAATTCTATACATATATACTAGAAGAGGGGTGCACTTGTGCTTGGAACCAGCTGGTACAAGGTCCATGGGTGTTCTTGAATTTGGCAGTTGCAGTTCCCGAAAGGTAGTTTAGGATTTAGAAGAGCTGTGACAAAATTGTTCATACGAAGTTCAGTGTAAACTTTATATCATAGCTATAGATATGTAGAGAGAGATACTGGTAAGATACTAAAGATATATTATTGCTTTCTATCTAAACAAATCAATGCGATTGCTGTTGAAAATCTAAATTGTTTATATTTTAAGCCCTTTTCACTTGCAAGACTTTTAGTCTGATGAATACTGAATCTACTGATTTACTTGCATTCAAACCCCCCACATTTGTTGCAGGATGTTTTATGGACCCGGTGGCCCTTATGCTCTATTTGCTGGAAAAGATGCTAGCAGAGCTCTAGCAAAGATGTCCTTTGAGGAGCAAGATCTAACTGGAGATATCTCTGGTCTTGGTCCATTTGAACTCGACGCGTTACAAGATTGGGAATACAAGTTCATGACCAAGTATGCGAAAGTTGGGTCTGTTAAAAAGACAGTACCAGTGACTGATGGGACATTGAGTGGGGAAGCTGTCGAGACAACTGACCGCGATGTTGATGATAAGCCTACAGACAATGGTCCATCTGAAAATGCAGCTACTGGAATCACAGAAACCGAGTCTGCTGTTGATGCCAACAAAGAAGAATGAGGAATGTTGTTATCCCTACCGTATGAAGAAGTGAAGACAGTAATGTTTGGGTACTAGTGTTTGGTAAATGTCGTTTCACATAGAATTTTTGTAATATTCAATAAGGAAATGGGCGTGTTTAACTTTTCGGATTTGGATGCAATTAGTTAAATAGTTATTTAAGTGCATTAGAGATGCTGGTCTTGTTTTTTGTTTTTGGAAACAAATACAATGCAATAGCTTTCGTATTATTTTGGAAATTTGGCAGGAGTAGACAAACTCTTTCGAGAAAGTGTCCAGGTGTGACCTAGTCTTGATTAATGGAATTATTCTATACCAAATATTCGAAGTTGTTTGATAATGCCCTCCAATGGAGTGATCGAAGTATTGGTGATTCTGAAAATGGTGATGGTAGCTTGACAATGCCCTCCAATGGAGTGTTCCAAGTTGGTGATTCCAGAAATGGTGAGAGTGTGGTAATGGTGATGATAATTGATGTGGTGGTAGTCCTGGTGGTGCCATGGTGGTTGATGGGTGGATTGGAACTTGGAAGTTGTTGGCGCCGGTGGTGGTGGGTGGTTTTGGAAAAGCAAAAAATATATAATATATATTAAAAAAATAATTGTCAAACCCCATATATGTTAGTATATCAAAGTCAAATCAACGTTGCAAAAAAAAAAAAAATAGACTGTCGCAATGGAAAATCTTTCACCTTTGTGGTCAAAATCTTTTGTAGGGCTTTTTTAAAAAATAAATTTAAAAAAATAAATTTTATATCTTTGAATCTTTCCTGTTCTAGCAGAAAATCTTCCACGTTGTGCTCAAAAATCTCTTTTTAATTGCCATATTCATATCTAGTTTTTGTAAATAAGATTATTTGATGAAAATCTAAAAAAGTAATCAATTTGTATAATTTGGATGGAAATTGAAATATAAGAAATTTAGTCAAAATCCCTTCATTGGATTCTTAATTGGTGAAAATGACCGTCAAATTTATTTTTCTTCACAAACTCCTTAAGAAGAAAATATATAATTGAGTAAGGATAAAGTAAAATAATTTTTTCTCCCCCTTTCTTGGACAATATTGTCATAGTAACATGTTACTGTCAAATAGAGTAATTGTCAACCAAAGTAATACGTTATTGTTATTGTTTATATCAATTTTAATGGTAATAATTTTTTTTTAAAAAAAAAATTTATAGTCAACATCGATCACATTTGATAGATCTTAATAAGAGAATTTTAAAAATATTAATTTATTAAAAATCGACATTTACATCAAAAGTTATATTATTTTAAGGTTTAATATTTTAATAATAGTGATATTTGTTGGCCTTTTCAATATTTTTTTTTTATATTTGTCCTTAATGCATTAAAATTTTATTATGAGGGGATTTCAACCAAATCTCATTGAAAAAAAATAAAACAAACCAACAATGCTAGTAACTCAAATTTTTGTTGCTCAAATGGCTCAAATCACTCAAAACGACGTCGTTTTGAGTGTAAAACGACGTCGTTTTGTTAGATTTGAGCCATTTAAGCCACAAAATTTTAGGTTACCAAACATTTTTCAAAACCATAATGTTAGAGATTCACATTTTGTATCTACAAATGCATGCACAATGATGTGACAAAAGTAATAAATCCCATATAATTGAGTGTATAACTAATTAAAAATTAATATTGGTCAAATCACATCGTTGTGTTTTGAATTGTGAAATTTTTTTTAGAATCTCAAACATTTTCCAAATGAAAAAAAAAAACATTTTCCAAACGAAAAAAAAAAAAGACTTCATGGGATAGGCCTGCCGTGAACAACTTAAGGAGTGGTATGTTAACGTTATCAAATTTTTATTTGGGAGACTTATTTATAAGTCATTTTTCAGACAATTATGGTAAGCTAAGTCTTGTATAATTTCTTATAGAGTCTCAAGTCTTATTTAGATAGGACTATATTCTACAAGATCCTACATAAATGTAACGTAACGTGACATTTGCATAAACATAACGTAACGTAACGTGACACCTACATAAACGTAACGTAACGTGACACCTACATAAACGTAACGTCACATAACATGTCACGTTACGTTTTGCAAACTTAAACAGTTTTTATTTTTTTAAATTAAATGTGAAAATATTGCTGGTTTATGTTGGTTTCACATTACGTTTCATATAAATATGATCTATTGAATGTTGCCATAGATCATAGGTGTCACGTTACGTTTATGTAGGTGTCACGTTACGTTATATTTATGTAGATATGATCTATGGTAACATTAGGAAATTGAATATTGCCATAGATCATAGGTGTCACGTTACGTTTATGTAGGTGTCACGTTACGTTACATTTATGTAGATATGATCTATGGTAATATTCAATTTCCTATATATGGTTTTACTATTATTTATGATATTAACAACTAATATTGAGGGTAAATGTGTCAACAAACTTCTCACAGGACTGATGGGAACATAAGTTTTTTAGTAGGACCATATGTAGCATAAGTTTCCCTAATAGGACTTATAAATAATTTTCCCTTTTTATTTTATGTTTTTAAAATTTAGAAAATATTTTTTTGTAATATTTTTTTAAAAATAAAAAATAAAACTATTAGGTATATAAAAATATTTTTAAAATAAATAAAAATAAAAATAGATAATATATATTTAGTGAGTTACGAGACGTAATTGTTGTTGATGGAGGGTGAGTGGGGACAGATATGATGATCGTTGATGGATGGTGATTGAGTTGATTGCTGGAGGTCACAAGGTGGCCGAAGGGGCCCAAAAGGTTGTCAGACGTTACGGCGGTGACCGGCCAGTGGCAAAGAATCACTTTAAAGGTCATCCACGAAAGGTGGTTGGCGGGAGTGGTTGTAGTAGAGAAGAGAAAGTAAAAATTGTTTTGAAAACAAGTGAAAATATATTTTTTATGTTTCAAAATTTTTAAAGCATTTTGGAATCAAGTGCAATTTTTTTAAAACAAAAATAATATATCAAACAAATTTTTGTTTCCAATTTCAAAAAAATAAAATTAAAAATGTTAACAAATGAACCCTAAATTTGTTTGATTTTGTTCCTTCTTAAATCGAATTATGATTTTGCTCAAAGGAAACCTTGAACTTTCAGTCATACAAGTAGATGGTCAAAATGGTATTGCAATGTGTTAATATCCAACTGAGGTTTAACGATGAGTCAACCTTAAGCCAATCTGGTTCACATATTCAACCAAGCATGACGTTGTACATGGAATTCTTTCAGTGATATGGGTTTCAATATTTGAATCTAAGCACGACAACAGAGCATTACAAGTTTGAATTGGCCATAGAAACGTATATCATTTTCAATTCTCATCCTTGATATAAAAATCTGTTATCCTTGGTTCAATGTCCATTACCTTGTTTTTCTCTTTCCTCAAATCCTAGGTTGTACTTGGGAGAGGTTATTTGGTGCATTAGGAGCAATACTCTATATTATTTGACAGTTATTAAATTGTTTCTTAAAGTATTGAGTTTCACAATTTCAATCAATAATATCAAGTTGGGGCACTATGTGGACTCGTTCCAAGACCACCCCACAATTTTTCTGTATTTGGTGATGTTGTTGAATCCCTAGATTGGTGCAGTACTGTATTGGGTTTGTTTGGTGTAATTTTTCCCAAACTGTAAGTTGATAATCAACAACAAAGGCTAAAAACATAATTTCCTTAACTTCCAAATAATCAACTTATTTAAATTATTTTTGCATCATAAATTATAAACATAAGTTAAACCCAATAGTTACATTAAAAAACCAAACAAATTAATTTTTTTTTATTTTTTTATTTTTTTATAAGTAACGGTATAAACTGCATCACACAACACCATTGTGAGTTAGTCTGGTTGTATTGGTCTCAAGTTTCCTTGGATTTGGGCTGGGGTGAGTTCCTCCTATGATCCTCGTGTTTGATGATGAGGGTTGAATATTCTGGAGTCTTTCCATTGTCCTCCAATTCGAGTGAGTAAATTTACTGATTGCTGATTGCTGATTGCTTCGGGATCAGCAATTTTAGCGTAAATTTACTGATTGCTTCGGGATCTATTCGGACTGTGACCAAGTGTATTTATATAAGGTGTTTTGGGTTGCTTCGGTGTCGTTTGATAACACTTGCGTTTTTAATTTTTTGTTTATATTTATAAAAATTTTAAAAATTCAAATAAAAATTTGTTTGGTAAAATTTTTGATTTATAAATCAATGGTCTCAGTTTATAAATTTGACTAAAAACTGAAAACACAAAAAATGTGTTTCCGTTTTGAGTTTTGAGTTTTTTTTTTTATCACCCAACGCTAGCCACCACCCGCTACCATTTTCCACTACCGTCTTCCGTCGCCACCACCACCCACCACCGTCTTCCGCCACCACCACTACCCACCACCCACTACCACCTGCCTCCATGATTAATAGTCTTAGGATTACGAATCTGTTGAATTATGTATCCTATCTTAACTAATAGTCAAGTTTAAAATAATTAGTCCGTACTTCAATTGTTTAACCAAATATCAGATTAATAATTTTATTGGACTATTAATCCAATCCCAAGCTCATGTCCACCCAA